CTTCAAACTTTGAACAATTGACGTTTCTTCGTGGTAATATTGGAGTTGTGAAATTATCAAGTGTTCAATTTATTGCTGAATTCGGTGCACTCCCTCCAACTCTTTCTCTTATTTACTATTTTATTTTCATATTTAATTTTTGCTAGTAGTTAAATTTTCACAATATGTTTAATGCTGCAAAAAGAGTTTGTAATAAGGTTGCTAATCGGGGTAATCGAAAAAATAGAAAAGGAGGTACTACTTCAACATCTGGTAGTAATTTAAATGACTCTACATATGTTTCTGAAACATTATCTGATAATAATATAGATTATGAACAATTACAGGAAGATTTCGGTATAGAAGATAATGAATTAGAAATTGAAGATGAGACACCACTTACACCTAGTAGTGTTGGAGTTGGTAGCAGGGGTGGTGGTCGTGGTGCTATTAGTAGACCACCTGTGGCCCCGGCTACTAATCGGAGAAAAAGAAGTAAGGTTTGGAAATATTTTGACGAAATAGAGAATATTGATAGAGTTAGGTACAAACTTTGTAAAGATGATTTTAAACATAAGACTGGAGGACAATTAGGGGGGACTGGGATAATTAGTAGACATATGAGAATTACTCATCCTATAAAATGGGGCTCTGATTTAGATGAAAATCAAGAAACTCTAAACCCTAGTATTGGAGGACTTATGAAATATGATAAAATGAAGGATCGTGAGGAGTTAGCAAAAATGATTGCTTTAGGTTGTCTACCTTTTTCTTTTGCTTCTTCATCATATCTTATTATGTATATTCAAAGGATTTATAATCCTTTATTTAAAATTATCCCTGTAAGTACTTGTAGATCTGATATCTTTAGATTTCATGGACAATATCAAACATACATACGTTATTTGTTTGACCACCTTCCTTGTAGAGTTTCTCTAACTTCTGATATTGGCCATGCTGTTAATGGAAATGATTATTTGACAATTACATGTCATTGGATAGATAATAATTATTGTATACAAATACGTATTATCGCTTTTAAATATGATGAAGATCAAAGTCATACTGCTATGTTTAAAAGTACTACTATTTGTGAAGTTGTTGAATTTTATAATCTTAAGAAAAAAGTATTATGTATATCTTTTGATAATGCTTCTAACAATAATGCCGCAATTTCAATATTAAGACTGCATTTGCAACCACCACTTGACTAAATTTTTCATGTTAGGTGTGCATGTCATGTTTATAATTTAATTGTTAAAAGTGGCCTTGATTTATTTTCAACTGAGATTACTCATGTTAGAAGAGCAGTTGGTGTTATTCAAGGAAATAATAGACAATCTAGAATTAGGAAATTTAAGAATAAGTGTACCGAACATAACCTTAACCCCAGATTCATACCAGACGAAATTGTTACTAGATGGAATTATACATACTTATTTTTAAAATGTTGCTGCAAATATAGATTGCCAATAACTGAAGTTGCTAATGCGCATTGTACTGATCCAAACTGTATGTTAACAACTACTACTTGGGAGGCCATTAATGATGTTGTTAAATTTTTACATAAATTTTATACAGCTACTGTTGAGTTTTCTTGAGCATATTACGCAACTGTTACTATGGCTTTAGTACATATAGCTGAAATTTCTTTTCTACTCTCTAAATTTAAGAAGAAAGAAAAATATAAGGATGTTGTTGAAAAAATGCAAGCAAAATTTAAAAAACATTTCTTTTCAATTCCTCCGATTTACTAAATTGGTGCTGTTTTAAATCATTCTATTAAGATGTCTGATTGTCACCAATTAATCAATGCTTTATATACTTATATGGAGATTGGACCAACTGAAACCCCAAATATATATTGTTGTATGAACAAGCTAAATGATTATTTACAATAATTATATAATTATTATAAAAATATAGTTGATGATGCTGCTCTTAATGTAGGCAATGTTAATCCCACTACGCATTGTACCACTTCTACTACTATGGATGATGATGAAGGTCTTAATAGTTTTAATATTTGGTCTACATTTCCTACCACTCAAACCAATAGCAGGAACATTGATGAACTTCAATTCTACTTGCAAAAGCAAAAAGAGCCTCGCACAAAGGAATTTTTACCGTTGGGATGGTGGCATCAGAGAGTGCATTTAGTCAAGCAAGACAACAACTTGGAGACACCCGTCACTCATTGGGAAGCAATGCTTTGGAAGTTTTAAGTATGTTTCAGAGATTGGATTAGATCGGAACGAAGAAATCAGGGACGTGACGATGTTGATAGACCAGAAGACGAGGAACTTGGAGATATATTAACACATGGTAACCCATCTGAATTTAACACTCCAGAAGATGGCCAAGAAATTCATATTGATTATCAAGAACTTACTACGGCAATGCAAAACCTTTGAATTTACTCTTTTTCGTTAATTTACTTGTTGTTAAATGTAAACTTCAATTTGTAAGTTTGAAATAAAAAAAGTACTTGTAAATTATAAGTGCAATTTTTTTTCTATCTTCATTGTATTCTATTATCTTAAATTCTTAATGAAATATTCAAAATTTCAAATATAAAGATTTTAAAGCCTTTGCATCCTTTTATTCAAATATTTTTTTTATAAGATTATTTTTTTGTTTTATATTTTTTACTTTATATTAATATAAATTACGATAGTTATACAAAATACAAAAAAAAATAAATAATAATAATAACATTAACCCGGCCCGGCCCCTTGGACCCATAACCGTTCCGGTTCATTTTTTACACGGATGTACCCGGACCCGTTAAGCCTGGTTTGAAAAAATCGGTAACCGGCCCAGATTGGAAACCGGCCGGTCACCTTTTTTTCTCAACCCGGCCCAGCCCGGCCCACCCGTTAAACACCTTTAGTTGAAGCTAAAACTTCATGCTAATGCATGATGAATTTATTTATCATGCAGTCTACAGTTTTGTCATGAGTTTTATCCGAAACTTAAGTCTAAACATGTTGAAGTTATTTAGTTCATTTGCTACAACTTCAGACTAAACATGCTTAAGTTTTTTAGTTCGTTTGCTAAAACTTCAGACTAAACATGCTCAAGTTATTTAGTTCATTTGCTAAAATTTCAGACTAAACATGCTTAAAATTTTTAGTTAATTTGCTAAAATTTCAGACTAAACATGCTTAAGTTATTTAGTTCATTTGCTAAAAGTTCAGACTAAACATGCTTAAGTTTTTATCTTGTAGTATATAATTTTTTAATAAGTTTTTGCTAATACATGCTGATATTATTTAGTTCATTTGCTAAAATTTCAGACTAAACATGTTGAAATTATTTAGTTCATTTGCTAAAATTTCAAACTAAACATGCTTAAGTTTTTTAGTTCATTTGCTAAAATTTCAGACTAAACATGTTGAAATTATTTAGTTCATTTGCTAAAATTTCAAACTAAACATGCTTAAGTTTTTTAGTTCATTTGCTAAAATTTCATACTAGACATGCTTAAATTATTTAGTTCATTTGCTAAAACTTCATACTAAACATGCTTAAGTTTTTTAGTTCATTTGCTAAAATTTCAGACTAAACATGCTTAAGTTTTTGTCTTGCAGTATGTAATTTTCTAATGAGTTTTTGCTAATGCATGCTGAAGTTATTTAGTTCATTTGCTAAAATTTCATACCAAAACATGCTGAAATTTTGTCATGAGTTTTATCCAAAACTTCAGTTTAAACAAGTTGAAGTTTTTTAATTCATTTGCTAAAATTTCAGACTAAATATGCTTAAATTTTTGTCTTGCAGTATGTAATTTTCTAATTAGTTTTTTCTTATGCATGCTGAAGTTATTTAGTTCATTTGCTAAAATTTCATACCAAAACATGCTAAAGTTTTGCCCTATAGTCTACAGCTTTGTCAATAGTCTTTTATTAAAGAATGGCAAAATCTTCTTTTTAAAATGCTTTTAATAAAAAATGGGTACGGATGCAAACGGAAAAATAAAACGGGTATAAGTTAAAAAGGGGCGACCAAATAGGGCACCCCATGTAACTTTTACACACACATAGTAGTTATATTAGGCCTTTTATTTATCCACCACTTGGGCCACGTCACTATCCTTTCAGGCTATAATCAATTAACGCATAGTCCAAATTCTGACAGTTTGGACATAAGAATTGTGAAATTTCGGAAAAAAAAAAAAAAAAAACATTTCCAAGTAGAAAATAGTATTTGAAAATTATAGTTGTGTTTGGACATGAATACAATCTGGAGTTGTTTTAGAATTTTTGTGAGTTCTTTGAAGTGAAAATTTTGAAAAATAACTTTTGGAAGTTTCTCAAATTCCGAAATATTTTGAAATTTAACTTCACGTGAAATTTAATATTTTCATGGCCAAACACTACTTCCGAAAAAAGGTTAATTTTTTTTTTGAAAAAAAAAAAGAATATTTTATATGGCGAAACAACCCGAAATATCTAAATGAAAAATCGTGATAACTTTAGGTATCTTGTATGTATTCAGACGACAATTAGGGGAGGTTAACTCTTAACAACAACCCCACAGTTAAATCTCCGCAAATAGATTGAAGTGAAAGACAATGCCTCAAGGATGTGCCTCAATCATTTCACTGTTCTAGTTTATAATGTCGTGTATATGATATTTAGCTGTGTTTTGTTTTGTTTTTATTTGACCCAATTCTGATAAACAAATTATGAACGAGTTAGATGAGACATGTTTGCTAAATAGCTAAAGCGCAAACAGGACCGAATGAAAAACAAAACACACCGAATAAAAGTCAATGGTGGAGGTCAATTAGCTGCGTAACAATCTTGAAACTATGTATGAATCAGTCAAAACATAGTACTACGTACGTGTACTAGATAACAAAGACAACTATTGTAGCAGAAAATTCATGGCACACACATTTTGACAATATCTATTCCATAATTCAAAATTGTCCCTCTCTCGCCCACTGTCGCAATATTCTTCGCTTACATCAAATCTTGTCACTGATACAACTCCTGGCATTGAGTTTCTGTGGATATTAATGAGTGCCCATTTTCTTATCAGTTCAATAAAATATTGAGCTTCTAAAAAAAGAAATTTACTAAGCTTTCCTCTTCAAACATTTCCTTACTATATAAACATGAAGCATGTATTTCCATAATATCATATATATAAGATCATTTCCTTTCTCAGATATATGGAGACACAACACTTCCCTTTCATTTTCATTTCACTCTTGATATTCCTTTCTTTCATCTTTCGATTTGTTCTGATACGGAAGAATTCAAGAATCGTTACCAAAAGATTGCCTCCAGGGCCATGGAGTCTACCTTTAATCGGGAACTTGCACCAATTAATGAATGGTCGCCTTCCAATACATCATACTCTCAGAAGTCTATCGCAAAGATATGGACCGATCTTTCACTTATGTCTTGGCGAAATATCGATTATTGTTGTATCTTCACCTGAGATGGCAAAAGAAATTATGAAAACTCAAGACCTTCGCTTTGCTACTAGGCCTGAATTTATGTCTGGAGATATTATTTTCTACAATTATACAGACATTGGAACTTGTCCATATGGTGAATACTGGAGAAATATGCGCAAAGTGTGTGTCCTGGAACTTCTTAGTGCAAAGATGGTCAAGTCATTTAATTCAATTCGACAAGAAGAGATGTCAAGTCTCATTTCATCGATTAATTCAACTCCTGATGACTCATTGATCAACTTATCAGACAAAATGTTTTGGTTTACAAGTTCTGTAACTTGTAGATCAGCTTTCGGGAAAGTGATTCATGATCAAGATAAGTTGATAATGTTGGTGAAAGACGTAACATTATTAGCTGGTGGATTTGACTTGGCTGATTTGTTCCCTTCCCGAAAATGGCTTCACGAGATCAGTGGATTGAAGTCCAAAATGTTGAAAGTTCACACAAAAATAGATGTAATTTTGGAGAATATCATTAATGAGCATCGGAATAATCGAAAAATTGGTAAGAAGGGCAATGGTGAGTCTGGAGGTGAAGATTTGATAGATGTTCTACTACGAGTCATGGAGAGTGGCGAATTGGGAACTCCAATCACAAATAAGAATATCAAAGGTGTTATTTTCGTAAGTCTAATGCCATATGAGATATTTCATTTTATTATTTATAGTATTTAAACATTGAAGTTAATATTTATGCTAGAGTACAGTATTGAAACGTTAGAAATTGTATATATCTTAATAATTTTCTTTACATGCAGGACATGTTCTTAGCAGGAGCAGAAACCTCATCTACAACAATTATTTGGGCATTGGCTGAAATGATAAGAAATCCAAATGTTATGGCTAAAGCACAACTTGAAGTTAGAGAAGTCCTAAAAGGAAAGAGAACATTTGAGGATTCTGATATAGAAGAGTTGAAGTATCTAAAATTAGTGATTAAAGAAACATTAAGGTTGCACCCTCCTATTCCTCTATTACTCCCAAGAGAATGCAGAGAAGAAACAAAAATTGAACAATACACAATACCTATCAAAACTAGAGTCCTAGTGAATGCTTGGGCCATTGGAAGAGATACTAGATATTGGCATGATTCAGAAAGTTTTATACCTGAGAGATTTGAGAATAATTCTATTGATTTCAAAGGAAATCACTTTGAATTTATTCCGTTTGGTGCAGGACGAAGAATGTGTCCAGGTTTATTATTCGGTTTAGTTAATGTAGGACATCCTTTAGCTCAATTGCTTTATCACTTCGATTGGAAGACTCTTCCTGGGATAAGTTCAGATAGTTTCGACATGACTGAAACAGATGGAGTAACTGCCGGAAGAAAGGATGATCTTTGTTTAATTGCTACTCCTTTTGGTCTCAATTAACAATATAAATAGACTTAAGAACATTGTTTGGAGTGTGCACATTTCACTAGTTACTACTTGTTTATGTTGTGATGAATAAGAAGATAATGGTCTTTATTTTACAATAACTTGTTTATCTTTACATGGAATACCTATTTTCATTTTTCATGCGAGCGGTTAATAAAACGATCCGTTATGTCAAAAGATAAACATTTTCAAAATACTAGAGATTTCTCACAAAATAACGTGGTTATCAAATTAGATCCCCTTCCCCTTGTGCTGTACGTACGAATAAATAAAATTTCACAATCAACTTTAACGATTTTATGAATTGACTTCTTTGTAACTATTTGTTACTTCGTAGAGCACTTTTGNCGTTCCCCGTCCGTTAAACCGTTAACCCGATACCAATAAGCCATTAAGCTTCGATTTCGGTTCGCTTTTCGGTTTCGGTTCGGTTTTGAACACCCCTACTTTTGCGTGCCTCAATAAACCTCTGTACTGGTGCAAACATGATACTTGTCAAACCAAAATACTACAGTCGTAGTTGGCATCATATGACAACCTAATTAAGTTGTGCCTAAAGTCAAGATAATCTGAAATATTCTCATCCTAAATCCCAACATCAAGAAAAGGAATTTAAACCAGGGAAAAATATCGAGTCTAGTTAAGTTAAGCCAAGCCCAATTTTTTTCATTTTTATGATCTAAAGATTGGAGCTTATTTACTGTCTCTGTGTCCATCAGGCAGACCAACAACTTGCATATAAGTCAAATATTTACATAGAATTAGGGTTGCTTATCCGACGAATAATTACGCTTAACGGTTCGACTTATCAATTATCAGCTTATAAACGTAGTAACTGTTAGCCATCTAATAAGACAATTGGCGTATTGGTATCGGATTAACGATTATCGGGCGGTTTATCGACTAAACCAAATAAAAAAATTTGAATAACCAATACCAAACAGTCAAATGCATAGTTCAAACTGTCTCTGTTAGTTTTTGAACAATCAATACCATTAACATTGTTATCCACAAAGGTAATACTATAACCCAGAGAGGAATTCAATTCATGTCCACTCATAATTTATGAGAAGCCAGACATCAGGCAGTTCTATCATTCTATGTTACAATTTTGCAACTTGCATCTTATATACATAGTGGTAAAGGTGTAATATAAAAATTCTTAATGGATTAACGGTTTACCCGATAAGAAAATTGAGTAATTCACCCTCCAACCGTTAATTTATAAAATCTCAATCCATTCACTATCCATTACCCCGATAATCCGATACTAATTGATTCGGTTAACGATTTCGGTTCGGTTTTAATGCATAATTATATATTCTCTCACCACCTCAGCAAAGCATTTCAGGTATAAAGTCAGAAATATGAAAGTCTCTAATAGGAGATTATCGGCAAGCCAGATGCTTCGACAAACCCCATTCAAATGTAAGGGCTAGGATCAGATCTAAATGAACCACCACCGATTGGGAAGCAATTCATAGTAAAGCTTCAAGCTCCATTTTGGTTCTTAAAATTCACTTGAGGTATCAACTAATAAAAAAAAAATATTAGACAACCCTCTTTTTCTTGGAGTTAGAAAAGGTGATTTAAGCCCTCAAAATAGCAGAAGAGAGTAGATTCCTCTATTGTTGAGCAAGGTAAAAATTTTACGTTGACTACATTTATTCCAATTAATTAATTGAATTAGTAACCAGTTACAGATTGAAGAGCAAAGTATACCATTTCGTATCATAGCTAATTCTTCAATCTTCAGATGTGTATTATTAATTTTCTGTTTGAATACCGGTTGCCTGACTATTCCACGTACCTCTTCTCACCAGCACAGTACCAATAACTATTGTCCACCAAAAACCAAAATTACATGGAAGAAATCAACTACCCATTTCATTGACCACCCCTAAGCCACATTGTTTCCCTCTTATTTATTTATTTGCGGAGATAATAAACTTAAATAAAATTGCTCTAATAAAATTTTGCAAATTATAATTTTTATACAATATCAATGATGAAGGTAAAAAAGATTTTCCAGCAATGATGAAGGTAAATGACATTACAAAAATAGAGTAAATTAGTCTCCTATTTTGTAAAATTAAAGTGAAAAGAACTACTAATAAAATAGCTAACATAAATCATCAACCAAAAGAAACTGGATTTTTTTTTATTTTTTTTTTTTGCGTCTAGCTCAGAAGTGAAACGAATCAGTTGGAAAGTGAGGGACGAATAAAGCATATGAACAATCTGAATGTAAAAATGTAAATAAAACAATGAAATGTACGAGCTTATTAGTGCACAAGCCGTAATTAAGAACGACACATGCAAGCATATAAACTCGCGCCGCAACGGCACGTTATCGGCAACTAAAAGGGCTGATTGCGCTACTCTTTGTTCAAAGCGCACCAGTGACGAATTCTGATTGCCTTTTTCTATAACCTATAAAATAACAAAAAATTAACATATAAAATAGACATAATTTACATGCATCCGACCATTTTCCGACTAAAAGAATGGAGACTATAGGCGGCGCGGCGGCAGATTATTTAGAAGATGAGAAGGATCCGAGATTTTATAAACGGTGAAGTAAAGTGAAGCAAAAGGAGCCCTAGTTTTACTCGGTATTGGGCTAGTAGCCCGTCAGGAGAATGAGGGCCTTTTGGTCTCATCCCAATATTTTAGTGAATTACCAAAAAAACCCTCGAAGTGTTAAAATAATTTTCATATTCGCCCATAAACTTAATCGAATTTTAATCAAAACGACGACATTTTGAATGGTAGCTTCAGTAGGATCATGGCAGCTTCCATCTCTAAAGCCCTAACCAGAAATCTTCTCCGGCGAAGTGGTGACACTACACGAGAATTGCAACTTCGGTTCTGCTCCGCCGCCACGTCAGCTGCAGCCATCTCTGCCCCTGAAACTCAACCGTCAGGTCTCACCCTCTTCTCTCTTCTTGTCAAAGTAAATATTTTTCTTTATTTGGGTTTTACGTGAATTTCTTCTTTTGTATTTTTTTGCTTTTTTTTTTCCTTTCTCGTTGCTGAATTCAGGTGATCTGAATTACTACATTTTTTTTTTGAATTCCTCAGAGAAAAATGGACCTTCAAGATTGTCAAAGTTACTGCTTTTCGTACCTGGGGTTATCACCTTTGGCCTTGGCACGTGGCAAATCATCAGAAGGCAAGAAAAGGTTAAATCTTAGTAATTTCCAAAAAATATCATTTATTTTGGTATTGTAGAAGAATTCTCATTTCCCTATGATGCAATATATTGTGTGTTGAAATTGGTGAGGCAAAAAACACTAGGTGGTTTCTCCATCTGTCTAAGCAATGGTCGGCACAGTTACCCCAATACATGTGTGCTTTTGTGAGGCAGCAGGTACCCGAGGTGTGCATAAGCTGGTCCGTACAGTCATCCAAAAAGATTTTAAAATAATAATAAAAGAAGCGTGTTAAAAAGTGCTGTTGATGCAATTTATTTCAGATGGATACATTCTGTTGCTTGGTTTGATCAATCACTGTGTCTAAGTTCTGGAGTGTGATTTGTTCATATAGTTTCAGTTAATTTGCCTGTTTATTGAATGCAAGATTGCTTGAGAAAGAAATTGTAACACCAATCACTATTTGCAGATTGAAATGCTTGAGTATAGACAAAATAGATTGCGAATGGATCCTCTAAACTGCAATGAGGTTTCCCCTTCTAGTGAAAATGTGGATGCTTTGGAGTTCCGCAGGGTACTTTGTAGTGGAGTGTTTGATGAGAAAAGGTCCATTTTTATAGGGCCCCGCTCCAGAAGCATTTCAGGAGTGACTGAAAATGGCTATTATGTTATTACTCCTCTCCTGCCTTTGGAAAATGATCCTAAGAGGTACGTGTATGCAAAGTAGATTAATTTTGGCATTGTTTTGTGCATTAGTTGTTTCGGCTATGTATTTCTTGCTCAAACTTCGTTAATCATCTTGGTGAAGGTTAAACAGGATTTAGGCTACATCTAGTCACCTGCTATACATGTTAAAAGGAAGTTACTTAATACTGAATTAGCAGTTGAGATGTCACTGAGTTACGATCTTGGGTTATTACAGAGAGCATAAAAAGATTTGGGTGATGTACTTGGCTGCACGTAAAAGAATCAATGTTGTCGTTTATATAGTCTTGAAAATAGCTTTCTCATTTACAAGAATTTAGTTCCCTTACTTTTATATTATTAATTTCATTAGTTCCTTTACTTCTTCCAAGTCTGGTGCATGAAAAACAAGCATTTAGTTCCTTTACTTCTTTTTACTCTGGTGCATCTTTTTTCTTTTTATCTGTTTAGGACTTAGTCAAGTGTTTACCCCCCATAATTCCACTTTACTCACCTATGTATGTATCAACTCAACTGCAATACAATATTACGGCCGATCAGCTTTCTTATTGCATCTCATGGTTCAGTGAAATTTGGTTACTCTTTTTTTAATTTACTTCAGTGCTCTTGGGATTTGATTAGGATTGAGGTGAGTGGATTTATTGATTGATTAATGTCTCGGTTTCTAGAGTGTTGTTGATCTAATTCTTACACCATCTACTACCGTCTTTACTCTCCTTACCTTTGTATGCATTAGACCAACCATCATACGATCATCGAGATATCCCCAAGATCAATATTTCTGTTTGCTTTACCTTTTTGGCACCTTTTCATTTGGATTATTGATCCTTTTAGGAAAATCACATCAAATTTATTGCGCTATGATTTTTTTCCTTCCGATATCTTCTCTTGTTGTTATATAGTTCACGAATTACATATCCTATCTTAATGTTGGTCCTCTAGTGCAGATATAGCGAAACTCGATGAGATGTGATCCCATCCTGAAATTCTCCATTATCAAACTTTTGACCTTCTGGTTGTCTGGAAATGTTAATTATTGACTCTCCTTGCCCTATTTCTTTGAGCAAAGGCCGCTCCATCCTCATACTCCTTCCACTTTTGGCACTTCTTTGTGTTCCCGTATAAGGCTGAAGCTACCCCGGAATTTTATTTGAGCAGATAATAGAAAAAGAATTACGATGAACTTTTGTAGGGAAATCATAGCAGACGCATCTTTGTATAAAAATTTCTCAAAGTTTGTAACTGCTCAAAAATCGAACAATAGCCCTGTTAGGACATGTAGAATCTAACAAAGTTCCTTCGTTCCTTTTAAATGAAGAAGTTCCTCCTTTCTTTAATTAAGTTGTAATTTCTTTGAGTAGGCATATGGTGTATGTTTTCCCTGATTTAACTTTTACATAGATAAAATAAATTATGCATCACACAGTTAGCCCCCCAACACCCACCCCACCAAATGGGGGAAAATTCTTGAAGAAAATTTTGGAAAGAGAAGGACACAGCTATGGAAGCACAAATTTTCATGTCTGGCAAAGAAGTTAGTGGCTAAATCTGTCTAATCGTGTCAAATTCTTTTCAGTGTGCAGTCACCAATTCTTGTCAATAGGGGATGGGTCCCACGGAATTGGAGAGACAAGTCTTTGGAAGTGGCTGGGGCTGATGACCAGCCTTCAAGTATTGCGCCCCCGTCTCAAGAGAGTGCAAAGAGCTCCTGGTGGATGTTTGGATCAAAAAAGAAGAAAGTAGAAGAGGTTGTTCTCTTTCCTTGCGTAATTCCTGGTTAAAACCATGTATAATCTGAACATGACACCTGATGGCAGTGCATTCAATCAACAGGATCAAGTTCCAACTGTTAAGCCCACAGAAGTGATTGGAGTTGTTAGAGGAAGTGAGAAGCCCAGTATATTTGTTCCAGCAAATGATCCCAGTTCGTTCCAGTGGTTCTACGTTGATGTTCCAGCCATTGCCCGTGCTTGTGGACTCCCTGAGAACACACTCTACATTGAAGACATCAATGATAATGTCGACCCAAGCAATCCCTATCCACTTCCAAAGGATACAAACACATTGGTTCGAAGTTCTGTAATGCCGCAACAGCATCTTAACTATACATTGACATGGTATTCCCTGTTCAATATATGTTCTAATACATGCTTCTGAGTTTTTTGCCACTGATATATTGGTCTTTCCTCTCATCTTATTGAGGCTGCCTCTTGTCTATGTCTAATGCTAATACTTTCATCGCAACTCAAAAGTATAAAAATTTCATCTCACTAGTATATTTTGTTTCCTTTTGCCAACTTCCATCTGTCAAATCTTTTTTCTTATCACGTTTCGATGAGCTAATATTGGATTCCTGAAGAGTGAGAAAGTTAATTTTCTGTTACGATAAAGTATATTTAGCTGGCATCATTTCTTGTTTATACTAGACTTCCACATGCATGAAATAGATTCATTAATATTTATGATGTTACAAAACTACTACAACTCATTATTTAGAAGTTTCTGGCTTATAATCAGTATAGAATTCAATTGGATGATACCTAGAAAACTTCAGTGCTGCTGTTGTTGACTCTACTGGCAATAGAGGGAAAGGGGAATGTTTGCTTGATCCGTGTTGCAGACTTGAATAAATTAGGGGACAGCCCTCTAAACAAAAAGAATAGTGAATGATTTGGATTTCCTCTTTTAATTTGTTCTCTTTGCGTTTTCCTGATGTTTTCTTTTTAAATTTTTGCAAGGTATTCTCTATCAGCTGCAGTAACTTTTATGGCTTTTAAGAGGCTAAAGTCAAAGAAAAGCCGGAGATAGTGAATCGTTGAGCTGTTTCCTTTGAGTGTATTTGGCAACGTTAGAGCAACTAGTCTGTGAGGGCAATGCTGCTATAGCAGATTAGCTTCATCACATAGACCATTTCTAAGGAATGAAAAGCTGCTATTTGGATACTTTTACTCCTAAATTCTACAGGCGAAAGCAATCCATTTTTAAATGGTACAACCCAATAAGTGCCCTTTTTGTAGTATTCTCAGGTTTTGTTAGCTAACATGTGCATGCCAGATAAAAATTGTTTGATATTTGTTCTTTCATAGCCCAAAGGCATTTTCTCTGTCTCTGGAGGAGAGTTTTATCTGAACTACAGAAGGAACTTCTGCTTATGACAATGTATCTAACGTAATGCACGTGAACCCTTCGCATTTTTTATGACCAAGTTACTGATCATAGTTAGCATTCCATATGATGGAGAAAAGTTCAAATGAATTATTCACAAAGAAACTATTTGGCAAAAAACCTATTCCAACGGAAGGAGATTGCTGATTTGGGCATTCACTAGCTTGCCGTCCGAACTGACTTAGGACAATAAAATTATGATCCAAAAGGAAAGCAATTGCTCTTTTGTGCATGTGGTAGTTCGTACAGATTAAAAACTAGGTCAAACCGAAAATCTATTTACTCCCACGTAAAACTCAACCTTGTAAAAGTTTCAAGTGAACTAAACAACCAAAGCAAATTGACATTCATACACTGATTCTTTCCGTACACTTTATACACAAATTTCACTGCCTACACAATAAATCAAAGAATGGAAGACCTATGGGAAACACATCCACTGGAAAAAAGAAAAATAAGGAAAGCAAAGATAACACTGACAGGGGGAACGGGAAGAGTAGACCAGACCCAAAGAATGAAATGAATATCAAACAGAAGCCCGAAAAAAGAAAAACAGATTCTACTTCGTCGAATGGCGATATACAAGGGGATTTGTGGTTGCTTCACCATGTAATGCTTTCAATAAAGCCAAAAAGTTGAAGAGACTTTCTTCTGAAAACCACTTGAGCTTCCATTTCTGGGGACCCAAGACAGGTTTTCTCTTTACGAGCTTCGTATCCTCGACTACCTTGCCCTCCTTCAATGTAAGAGGGAACTCTGACATGACACCTCCCAAAGTCAGGGTCACACAATAGCAGTCTGTCATTTCAATTACCTGAAAGTTAAAGGAAATCCATCTCATCAGCTTTGTTTCTTTACACCAAACAAAATCTGATTTCTTGTATTCCAAAATATAATTTTTATCAAGGTATCCGAAAAGATTTTCCTTTCTACATTTCTCATCAGGATGGATGGCATTGATGCAAAAATCAGTGTACACGAGCATGCTAGTAAAACCGACTTATATTAATAGCAATATGACCTTAATAAAAAAAGGTTCCATATAAAAANTAGATTGATAGAAACAAATGTTCATAAACAAAATAATTACCACTTCAGACACGCCGACAATGGGACAACAAGAGTCCAACGAGAAGTAGGAAGAGCAAGATACACTCTCCGAAAGGGACCCAATTAGGGTTACGTCTTCCATGCACAGAAGCAAATGCCTTTCAAGCACAAATAGTGATCTCCCCAGCCATGGATCCTCTGTCAATGACAAAGAAGTTTCATTATAACCAACAAACCTACATCCAGTAGAAAATTCACTGCAGACGTGTTATCAACCTAAGAAAATCACATTTATGTCGACCAGTAATTATGTACTCCAACGCAAGATGGACAATTGTTTCCTCGTCCAACAACCTCCAAATCTCCCCAACCCCCCAACCCACAACCGAAAAAGGAGGAAACAGGAAAAATGGAAAAAAGAACTGAAACCAAATTACCTACGCTATCAAAGGAGACATAAAGAGAGAACAACAAAAAGGATGCTATTTCTGCTCCCAAAAATAGATGCACGGCTTAGGAGTAAAAAGAGTGTTATTTTTCTGTACCATGGAGGGGACGAGGCAGCATAGATCATCTGTTTAAGCTAAATAATGGACTTTTGCTGCCTACCTAACTAAGTTTCATGTTTCATAACACATTTCTTTTTCTTTCATGTTGATGCTACTTACGGCCATCTTATTTCCGCTGCCAATCAAGTAAAAACTTCTTTGGATAAAGTAAAAAGTATTTGAAGTTATAACGAAACGAAACAGAAATGCTTGCAAACGGGCCACCCTTTCTTTACACCAAGAAAGCCTTACTAACTAAAAACACTTTTAGCTTTGTACAACAGAAGCAGCAACATCTCAATGATGAACTTCTAACAGAACAAGAGCGTAACCTATTCATCAAACAATATGGCTATTCACTTTTTCTTGACATCAGCACTGAAGCTATAAGGACAACTCTCTGTCCATGTTCGACTGCATCAGTATATGGATGAACCATATAGAAAACTGCAAGAGCAACTAGAAATACCTTTAGAACTGTTGCACCAGAACATCACCATTGCATACTGAAGGATGCTCATCTTTAAACCTCCACAAACATGCCTTTCAAACAGATCAGCCTGAACCTGCTCCAAACTGTCATTCAAATTTCCAAAACCAGCACATGATGAAGTGGAAATCAAAGTAGACAGCACAAAACTTGAAAGTTGTCACATAACCAATTTAGACGTACAGAGCCTAGATAGATCACCTTTGCAGAGAAAAATTATTTTCCACCATACGTGAATCAGCAGACACCAATATAGATAAAAGTTCTCTGGAAATGTCTATGCTTCTGGTCACAAAGATGTAGGTTGTTTCACATTCGAAGCACAGTCTACTTAAAAGAAAAATGGAACACAATAAGGTCTTTGGAAAAGTACGAGGCAAGCAAAACAAAAGGAAGTGAAACAGAACCCACAAACCTTATAATGTGGAGTCCCAAACCTACAAAAATCTTTCTCTTCTGTTCAACACCATGACAACCAACTAATTTAAAGCTTGAACCTTCTAAAAGCCAACAGATAAATAATGCTTGTAAGTATGCAGAATCATTTGAGTCTCAAAAGTATAAACAGAAAGAACAAAAACTTCACATCTTGCAAAAAGTTCATACCACAGTAAAGCTAACCTGACCCATCACATGAGTTTTCAAGGAGTAGCACATGTAACTTATGCTCGCTGCTCAAGGTGACAGCAACTTCACTGTAAGTTCAGTAGGACACAGTAAATAATTTGGGAAGAAAACAGTAGCTGAAATAACTAAGGCTTGCAAAAGTATATGCATGGCAGTGCCTAAAAAAAACTACACCACAGAGAAACAATCTCTAGATGATCTCATTGAGGCATATGATATGTTTTAGCCAAACTAGAGTCAATTCCCACATGGCAGAAAACACTGGAAGATTATATCTAGGCATCCCATGATATTTAGCAAAAACACACTCAAACTTTAGATAATATTATCATCCTGCATGGACCAAAATAATTGTAGCTTCTTCATGCAATATCTATCTAGTTTTACTTTTGAGACTTCCTTCCCATGCATGACATACTTTAGAAAACTCTTTCCACCGAGACCAATTGTTTCCTGATGAATCAATAATCATTTCATTTAAGATATGAATCAAGATGTCTCAAAAGTTCCAATATTTTCTCTTTTTTTTCTGTTTTACATAAATGCAAGTTGCAATAATTTTATCACTGAGCTTCTTTCAACTTAGTCCAGTTAAAAGAGCCAACTACACTTGTGCTTGATTCATAAACTTATTTAAGATTTTCCTTCCTTTACAGAAATTAGTATATTTAACCTTCAACAGGAGTTAAAGAATTCCATTTAGCCCTTTTGCGGGCAAGGCAACAGAATTGAACTCCCATAAATAGGTTCACCAGCTTTTATAACCCTCTGTCACATCCTGCAAACTTAGGAACATCCTTCACACCCTTAAAAATGCCATGAATCCTGGAAACCACTGTCTCCAATCCACGAACCACTTCACATTGCAATGAGATAGCTGAGCATTCTTAGGCGAGGGTGTGAAAACTGACAAAGAAGGGTTTTAGAGCAGTGGCAGCTACAAGGGANATATATATATATATAGTAGAAATTAGAGTTGCCTCCCAAAATTGCCAACAGTTAACCGACAAGCTCATCACCATTTATCAGAAGTTCACATAGTAGACAATTTAAATGTCTGCTGTCCACAAAGCTCTATTCCAGTTAGATTAAAGATTTCAGGAATGTTACATCTACCTTTCAATGCACTGAGATCTTTCCTCTAGAAAACAGTTGCATATAATGTATCTCTGACAAGATTCATCAACTCCAGATTCTGCAGCCTTTTTGCTAAAATAATTCTTAATTAGATTTTCCGGCGCCCATAATGATGGGTTGCTCTTGGCATGAATTTGCCTGCCACAACTATCAAGGGTTATTCTCATCGCACTTTGGCAGGAAGCTCTCTCTGAAGTAAACTGTGCTTCAATCCCCACACCTTCTCGAAAACCATTTATATCTACATCTGATTTTTTGGCTTCTGCTGTCTCATCATCTTCATTTTCCTCGCACAATGAGATTATTCTCCTAGCAGGTTTCCTCCGACGCTTTTTCTTCTCCAACCAATTGACGTCCTGCGTCATAACTAGTTCACTTTCAACACCTTGTCTGTCGGTAGAAAAATGCCCTTGCGAGGAGGAAGCATCTGATGCTCTGACCACCATGCAGTTAGAGTTTCCTTCAACGCCTAAACTTGTTGGGAGTCTACAATTTATTCTTATTGGATACAATTTTTCATGGGATACATCCATATGCAGATGAACTGGTGAGCGGCTATCCACAGTCCTCTCTGAGAAGTTGTTGATAGGAGATTGATCAACCAGGGACATTGAGGTCAATTCAGGGTAGTCATCATCACTGCAGCTCGTATCACTATCAGAAGATGCAACTGAGAAGGACTCAGCAGACAGCTGCAGGAATTCTTCTTCCAAGTTTTGGCGTCGATGCAGGATATCCTCCTTGTAATGAGGAGGTGATCCTGTGCTAGCCAAGGATGATTGAGAATCCAAAATATTATCAGTATCAGTAAGTGGTGGAATATTGATCTTGGCACTCATTTTAACACGTCTTTGAATTGAGAAGGATCCAGATTGTGGGAGCATCGTAGTTGGATGTAGAAGCACTTCATTATTTATAGGTCTAAAACTATCCTGAATTCGGCTTCTAGTAATCTCAACGGACTCTCCTGTGTTATTGCGGAAGATTTTGGAAGCTGCTTCACCAATTTGGTTGGGGTACTGAAGCATATTGATATTAGCAGACATCTCTGCAAATGAGTTGTCAGATTCTAGTATATTTGTGCTGCTGTCATCTCTAGAAGCCAGCATAGAGTCGGATAAATATTTTGAGGTCTCTCCGAGCTGTTTTTCTCTAGTCTGTGTCTTAAGTTCGTCATCTCTGTGGTTACTGGAAACAGTCTCTTTGCCTCTAGCAAGACCAACAAAATTGTCAGAAGAGTCATTTATCCAATCTTTGAACTCCTGCAGCCATACATCAGATCTTTCCTTCTTCATTTTCTCGATACGGTTCATCAACTCAACTATTTCAGCTTCCTCATCAGAAAGGGCATTCTCCTCCTTGCTTTGGTTGTCGATATCAAGAGACACAGATTCTATATCAGAACAAATAGAAGTATTCTGTTCTTCCGTCTCGATACTAGCAACACGTGAGAGCTTCTTCTGCAATAGGTATATCAAGATGAACTCAGAATTGCTGATGGGTATAGTAAAGCAAATTAGAAATGAGAACCTAAGGAGTTACTGACCCTTTTTGTATTAATACTTCCTTCTATTTTGGCCCCATCTCTTGCCGGTGAATAAAATCCAAAGCTAGCAGGCCGCTTTTGCCTGCTGGCAATGATAATTTGCCGCTGCCATAACTCACTTGTACAGATTTTCTTTTCATCTAGCTCCATCTGTAGTGTGCAATCATGGAAGAAAAAAAATGGGCAAGTCCGAAGACTAAAAGTTAGATGAAGAGGCAGATTCCTCTGTAAACCTCTGAGCAGAGGATGGACAAAAAGAAAATTTAGTAACAGAAACAGACAAGTGATATTGATACATAAAAGATTTCAAACGGACAACTCACCTTCTCTGGATTTGAAAAGAAACTGAACACTTGAGCTCTATACCAACGAGCATAGCACAGAGGATTCCCCTCTAGCCACAAGCTTTGAAGAGATGACAGGCCATCAAGAATTTCCATCTCTAAGAAATTGGAGATTATATTGTATGAAATATCAAGCCCTTGAAGTGACTTCAAATTTTCAATTCCACGCAATGTTGTTAGAGCATTGTTCCTCAACACAAGCTTAACAATGTGACATGAGACCTGCATTTACAAAACCTCTATAAACCAATATGTTGTAAGCATTGTCCCATGTACTTCATACTTGTATAGACTTCACGCAACAGTACAGAAAGTGTGCTGGAACAACAAAAATTATGTCACGTCTATCAACATTGTAGAATTAGCACAGGATAAATAGCAAATAGTACTTCATGAGAGGCTTTTAAGACCAGCTAATTTATGACTAAATATTACTTTGCGCCTCTTACGACTTCGAACCCTCCGAGCAAATGGATATAAGACCAACTTGGCAGAAAAAAAGATCTTTGAGACTATACTCCAGTGACTTACTATCCTTCATCACAGCTAAAGTAGAAAGTTTTTGAACACTATTGATTTAGTTACCAGACCCCACTGTGTGGGATTGCACTGGGTTTGTTGTTGTTGTTTATTGATTTAGCTAAGCCTTTTCTCCTATCCTTTTTCTTCACTCCAGCAATGAGGAGCATGGAGTTTCAGGTAACTAGTCAGATAATTGCCACAAATGCAATTTTACCACGTCATTTAGAGTTGATAGTGCAAGTATTCATGACTGCTCCAAATTTCATTAACTCTGATTGGATCCTCAATCACCATTCTTTGCATGAATATGGGTTGTGCTCGAGAGGCTATGAACTGATTGGTCATCGTAACACTCATACTGCTTGACTTTATGAAGATTCCATTGGATTCTAGAAGCTCGAAGCATTGGTCAGGCACGATTCCAAAACTTAAGAAGTTCTATAATAGTAATGACCAACAAGACGTGAACTTCTTTTCATACTCATAGCAAATATTGTTCTTCGAACAGACAATAAAACATTATTGCATCAAAATCTTTATGCCATATTTACCTCAATAAAGGATGCAACATTTCTCAGGTGATTAAACCCCAGATCCAGATGCTTCAACTTGGTGCATTTGCGCAGATTATCCACTTTGGCAAACTTATTTCTGCTCAAATCAAGAGTTTCAACAGCAGGAAGAAGTTGCAATGACTCATCCATCAGTACCAAGCCATTACGAGCACATGAAATAAATGACAGCTTATTCCAGTGTGGAGAATTCTTTATATCAGCAATTCTACTAGCAAATATATGCCTAAGAGCATCCTGAAATTAATCCAATCAATCACACGGTCAATATGCTTAACAAAGAAAAATATATAGCACGTGTAATTCAATTCACAAGAAAATATATAAACTCACAGTTGAATTATGACATATTAATTTCTCTAAAGTGTGCCTTAATTCCAATAGTCCTCTAGCCGCAGAAGTTGACAGATCACATCCTCTAAGTTCCAAAACTTTAAGTCTACCAAACGGCAAAAGAGACAACGGCGTCGGGTCCCGGGCAGGAGGCGGCAGCACAGAGACAACCTTAAGCGATGTAAGAAGGCGAAGAATCCGGCGAAGCTTCTCGAGCGCACGGTGGTCACCTAAATCGGACACGTAAGCACGCAAATAATCTACAGGGGCTCCTGAAAGAAGACTCTCAAGCTCCAATAAGGCTTCGAGCCTAGAGTGCACGTAATGAAGCCCAATTGGATTCAATTTAAGCACCAAAGTCCCTTCGATCAATGATTCCACATTGTTTTCGACGAATTTTACAAGTGAATCTAAGTATCTATCTCCGGTTACAAGCACCATCTCAAAATTAGGGTTCCGGTGATTTGAATTAATGAGAAAAAGGGGGTTTTGGAGGAATCGAGAGCAGAGAAACGGCCATGGCTGTTGTGTGTGTGTGTCTGTGTGAGAATGAATGACTTTTTGGGAGGGGGGCGGTTTTGAGTTAATGATTGGGTTTAGACCGGTGGGGGTGTGGGTTAGCGAAGCAATTTGCTGGAAGACACGTGGCGTGCTGGAGTGGGACCATTACGCGTTTATCGGACATAATCCTCAAGAGTCAAGTCCAACGCAACTATAATGTAGTACTTCTTCCCTAACCTGTTTGATCGGATACGGAGTTTAAAAAAAATAAAAATTTAAAAATTTATGGTCCTAAGCAATTCAAAAAGAGGCCCGAATTATTTGTGTGGTTATAAAAGCTTCTCATTAAGGGTAGAATTGGAGGTCTAAACTAAATTATTTCTAAAATTAGAAAGGGATCATTCTTTTTAGAACGGACCAAAAAAGAAATAGGTTCACATAAACTGAAACGGAGGAAGAATTTAAATATCCAGCACACGTCGTCCCAATTTCTATGTGGTCAATCACAGGAAATTTCTTCTGAATTACATTAGTGGGATTTAGAGAGGGTAGTTTATACGCAGACCTTACCCCTACTCTGGAATAGAGAGGTTGTTTCCGATAGACTCTCGGCTCAAGCCCTCCAAGAACTCCCCATCTTACTCTTGGGGTGACTCGAACTCACAACCTCTTGGTTGGAAGTGGAGGGTGCTCACCACTAGAGCAACCCACTCTTGTTTATGCTTGATCGAACTCACAATTTTGTACCATGAAAATTGATGTTAATAACCTAAATTGTGAATGTCTATTATTACTCCAAGAAGTTTGCAATCAAATAAATAGCTCGCAAATAGCTTATGCATGCAGTTTTACAAGCAACTCCATCTTACAAGTAGCCTTACAAAAGTCTTGTATCTCATCAAGCATGTTTATTCTCAAAATCGGATAACAATTAAATTTGTAAGTATTTTAAGGATACGCGGATTAATTTGATATAAAATGATAAATTAAGTTACTTTTGAGCAAACAAAGATAAAATAAATTCAAATCACACGAGTAGGATAGTTCCACTCTTAGTGAAATAGTCACCCTCAAGTCGGGCTCACCACGGCCGGCACCAATGAAAAAGAGAGAGAGCTAGTGACACAGCAAATAATGATATATTGCTTTGGTATGCGTGTTACAATGTCCTTCATGAATTATCAGACCCCATTTATATAGTAGGGAGTCCTACTTTAGGTACAATTCTATAAAAGGTAAAAAAATCTTCTAATTAACTGATTGTCGGTTCCTTATCGATACGTGCCGAGATCCCCGCCGTGATATCGGCCAGTCACGGATGTTTTGGCCTTCTGTTGGCTTGCTTGATTGTCCGACAATGTTTTTCGAAATCGTTCGAGGCTAGGACCGATTCTAGAACCATGACCTCGACATTCTCGAGGGCAGGTGTCATGCCCTCGGATTCTAGCTCGGTGGGACTTTTAGCTTGATTTCGGTCCCTTACCACCATGTCTCGAGCCTGGCTTATCTTGTCGGAGGACGGGGTGCACCATGAGCTTTGTTTTACCCGTATATAGATAGTCCCCTTATTTCTCGGAGAGTAAATAACGGAAAACGACATAAGCTTCCGATTCCTACTTCGACACGTCATGGCAGAAACGACAAAAAACCTGAAACGTCTCGTCAATCACGTCATAATGGCATTAAATGCATGTCGGCCGTTGGTTGGCTGTCCCTGGACGTGAAACGTCAACTACTATAAATACCTCGTCTTTTGTTCATTTTCACTTTACATCAAACGTTTTTACCCTCGTACCCTCACGATTTCAATACTCTTTAGCACTTTCACCCCGGTTACTCAAGGTCCTTTTGCAAAAAAAATTACCAGTCTTCTTCTCAAGCCAACAAGTCTAATCCCTCAACTTCCTTTCTTTCTTCATTTTTTCGAGATTTTCCTCCATTTTTACTTTCTAAAGGAATGGCAAAGACTTCCAAAATCGTTCCCCAGAAAGAAACTCATTCTACTTCGCGACCGGCCACTGAGGTCGAGGAGACCGCTCCGGGCGTGGCCGATGATGAACCAGTACCCGAACCCCCATTGAAAATGTTCATCCCCGGGGGATGCTCGATTAACGACAATTTCAAGGTTAAAAATCCTTCCTCCGTACAGGATCGGTGTGAGGAGTTCTCGAGATACATTTGCTCGATTACCGAAGAGGTCCTCCCTGGTCCGAAAAGATTGCAACTGGGCCGATAAAAACATAATGGTCCCCGACCCTCAGGAAGCCATTACCACTCATATCGAGGAATATCTGAGTGTTTACACTTATCCCTTTACATTGAGACCAGTGGACCCGGTCATTATAGATTTCTGTAAGAGATACGAGGTATGCCTCTGCCAAATTCATCCTTCACTGTGGAGGATTGTGATCCTCCTTCGGTTTTTTGTGAACAAAATTGAATCTTGTTGGTTCACTATGGATCACCTACTCCATTTGTACAGTCCCCGAATATTCTGAGGGGGGCTGATAAAGATTGTGCGCGGGGCCAGTAAAACCCTATTCTTAAGTATCGATGAGGACCGGGATCGAGGCCGGCAAGGCCGCTTTATTCGAGTGAGGACTTCGGACTTGATTCCGGCTGAATGCAGGCCATTCCTCGAGAAGTGGAATACGTCACGTAAATAGAACTTTCTTTCGAATGTTGATTTTATGTTTACTTCTCTTTTCCTTATTGGTATTCGTGGTGGTATAGACGTCGTTTGGGTCCCAAATGCTGTCCCTCGACTTAAGGAGTGGGTTGAGGGTATCATTTCACAGATGCCCTACTACGAGCGCTCGTGGCGCAAACTCTCGAAGGGTCGTTGGGAGGCCCATTCCCATGATGAGACTTCTTTCCCGAGTAGGTTGTGTTAGGCTTCTTCTTTTAATATCAAGTCCTTATTTTCTTTACTTGTTTTTGCAGGCTTGGCTAAGGATATCGAGCTTAGGCCTCCAGTCGGTGGCGAGGACTTGCTTGTTGAGTCTCCTGCTCCGGGGCAGGCCGGAGAGAGGAAAAGGAGGAGGGCTCCGAGCTCCCCAAGCTCAGAGAAAAAGAAACCGAGAAGGAGGTTGGTTCGCTAGTCAAAAGAAATCTCCATCTACCGAATGCTTGGCTCTGACTCACTCCTACAGCACAGGGACGAACCTGAAGAGAACGAACTTTTAGTGGCCCAAGAGCCATTAGTCCCTGAAGAACGGGCGGTAACCGAGGAGGAAACGATGGAGGCTAACCCCTCTCAGGTTCGCGAGGCCGATACTGTAGTGAGGGGCCGAGAACTATCGAGATGCCGCCTCCGCCACGCCCGGTGTGATATATATTATGGGATCGCCTTCGTTCGCAGACTTAGTGTTCGACGAAGCCCGAACGACGAAGGAGCAATCAAACGAGGGGGCCCACGGAGTGGACGATACCCTTCGTCATTTCTTTGATGGCGTAAACTCGTCCGCCCTGGAGGACTTAACCAGATTGGGTGATTTAGAAGTGCCGAGAAAAATTCCATCCTCGGAGGTTGGCGGGCAGCACTCGGGCCCGAGGTTGGTCAACCGGTTCTCGGCCTCGAGTACGGATCCTAGCCGAAAGCGGTCAATCATGATCACCATTTCGGAGGACATCCGGGTTATTTTTGCCCCACTCGGGGTAGCTAGCTACCTCCGGTGCTTGGTAACCGATGAAGACCGGGATAAAATGAATGAGGTGGATGCCTCATGCCTGTTCAACGAAGCACAACAGGCGCTGAATCGGGTAAGGTGTTACCAAACTTTTTTATTTTACAACTTTAGTTTTTTGACGATCCTAATATCTCTTCTCATATTTGCAGGCCTCGGTGCTTCACTACGAAACCTTCCTTCGGTATCGGGATGATCTAAACCAACTCGAGGCCGAAGTCAAAGAGCTTGCTGAGAAGAGATACACGTACAAACTTCTCAGCGAGCAACATGAAGGAAATGCTAAGAGCCTTCGAGCTTAGTTAAACGCGGCTCGGAAAGAACACGCCGACCTAGTTGAACAGGCAAAAATCTTTGAAGTTAGTGACGATGAGCTAGACACGGTAACTAATGGTGAGAACCCGCAAGTCCAACATAATATTGATCGAATCAACCAACTCCGGGCCGAGATGGATGTAATCAATGTCGAGGCCGAAGAGTGGAAAGTTAAGATGGACTACTTGGCCTCAGAAAAGGAGACTGCCCGAGTGAAATTATTCTCGACGGAGGCCCAACTTCAAGCGACGAGGGAGAAGGCTGAGGCACGGTCCCAGAAAATTGAGGAGCTTCAATCTCAGCTGAGTTCGGTTGTTACCGATCAAGAGACCCTCGCTAAGGAGCTTAAAACGGCCAAGTCAGTGGATGAAATAACCAAGGCCGATGTCGATGAGATGGTATCCTAGTACAAATCCGATGCCGAGGAAGCCCAGGACCGCCTGAAAGACATTGTCGAATATGTGAAGTAGTAGTCCCGAAGGGAGGCCCTCGAAAAAGGTTCATGATCGAGGTTTTGATTTATCGACCGAGATCGAAAGTGCTAAAGGGCTCGGGGCCGAGGCCAAGAAGTTGGCGTATCCCGAGGACGAAGAAGACTCTGAGGGTTCGGGCGGATCCGGGGGCGAAGAAGACCCCGATGGTCCCAGTGATGAGGCGGGCTCCGGCGAAGACCAAACTGTTTATGTGCCTCGTAGATTTCTCATTATTTTTGCACCTTTGTACTTTTTGTTTACGTCGTTTTACCTTTGTAAAGATCTTTATATATATATATATATCTTAAAAACTGTGGAAGGGAAAATGAGCCTTGTGTGTGTGTGTGTGTGTGTGTGTGTATATAT